TCTAATAAATATCAATTATAGATAATATTATATTATAGTGAATATTTATTTCAGGTATTGATAAAATAGTTAGAACTATATTCAATAACAAATATTAATTTGTTATTCAATAGATTTTTTTATTATATATGATATTTTTTATATATCCTTCATGTGGTATGAACTTTAAATCTTATGATTGTGATCTGAAAACATTACCATTATGTTATTGATCTATAGATAACTATATTATTACTTATTTTAAAGAAAAATAATTATAAATAGTAATAAAAAAAAAAAACTTAAAAACAAGTGTTAAAAATCAAATATTAATCAAATATTTGTTCAGATGTAAGTTGGATTCAATTTAAATAAAAATTGATCTGATTAAATTTGAAAATAGATTAAATAACAATTGATTTAATCAGATTCAAATTAATTTTGATTAAAATCTGATTTGATCTGATTTATTATGATCACTAGTTGAAATAAAATATATCTTTAGAAATAAAGATTTTTATAGGATAATAAGTTTCTTAGATGATATATTGCATAAAAAAAAAAAATAAATAAATTTTTTAAATGATCAAAAAAATAGAAATATTTCAATCAAGTAAATCTTATTGAAAAGAAATCTTAAAATATGAGTAAAAAAGTTAAATAATTTTTTTCTTTTTTCTCTCTTTCTTTTCTTTTGATATAATTGTATATTTTTAAATATTTTTCTTTTCTCCTTATATAATTTTATATATTCTAGTGGCTTGATAAGATAATTGACAATGACAACCTGTCAGCTGTGATATATAATCTAGGAGAGTCAAACCTAAAAATTTTTTATATCTGCAATGAGTTAGATTTGTGTGTAAAGTTTAGCTGTAATATGTATTATGAATATGCACTTTTGTATTCTTTTAATTAATAACTTTTAATATAACCTGGTTGCAGAGTATTCACAAAAAAAAAAAAAAGACAACCTGACAACGGACCTTTGAATGGAACTTGAAATCAAAAATTAACTAAACTTGGAAATGGCAAACCTTTAAAAGCGGCTATATTATTCATCACGGAAATTATTTTACACTTCGATAGCGAGATTTAATTAATTGATTAATTATGCAGAGTCCATTAGCGCAAGAAACAAATGTAAATTGCAGTTAAAAATTAATTTCTTATTATTTGGATCGGAATGATATTAGTTGTGTAATCGATCGATCTCCATACCAACTTTCGCACAAACGGTGTCTCACCAATTTATCGTGCATATATGTTGTGTTGAATCCGAATATTTAATTGAAGTCTCTCATTTTAATCACTTAAAAATTATTTTCAAAGAACCAATTATATGATTTTGACATAATGAACACGATATTGAATACCGATTTCTAAAGATTGTATTATTACATTGTTATATTACAATTGAGTTATCATTATGTTCTTTTTTGTTTGTTGCTTGCCAATCGAGGAGGATCGGTTACGATTGAACTAGGGATAATTAGTATTCTATGCGAGTGTAAAAATTAATTCAAAATTTCTCGACATCGAATTCATTGGAAATATCAATGATCACATCATTGAAATTCTTTAGCGTATAACGTAATCCAAGAATTCAACGATATGGATGTAATAATATTAAGTTAAAATATTGTAAAATATAATACTGCTATGATACTGTATGATGGTTAAATATTTCCAATATGTCCTATAATTTTTGATCCGTTTTCCTTTTTTTGTTTTTTTTTGGAGGTGAATGATTGATTATCTTAATCTCTAAATATATATATAAATAAATAATGAAAAAATACTTTAAATACAATTTAATCTACAAATAGTGCATTTCCGTTCGAATAAATGAAGTATTTGGTAAGAATTATCCGAGAATAAATAAGCATCGATGTTAATTTGCCAGTTAAACAACGATATGCAATATAGGGTCCTTGGTAACCTCAGCATCATCTTCCCGAGCTACAATCACATCACCATCATCTTGGTTTTGCATGTCGGGATTCTCTTCATAAACTTGCACAATATCCACATAAGTCATTGCGCTCTTGAAGGCGAGCCCGGTGCCTAGCAACCATTCTACAACAAGAGCCTCCTCCCTTTCCTCTTCTTCGGTGTATTCGATAATAATCTGTTGTTGCACTTTGTCGTCCTCCTTACATCTTAGTTCCGCAGAGATTATGTCTCTCAAAAAACCGTCAGGTCTCCTGACAATTTCCTTGGACTTCTTGGATTGTTTTTTGCTTATTGATGACTTTGTGATGGATGGTGTCGGTATAGGATTTGTGGAGGTGGATTTATGTTTTGGAGGTATCTTATCGACATTTTGGGCCCTTATCGATTCAGAGGGGTTCGATTGCAACTCATCTTTGATGGGAATTGGTGAAGCATTATGTTGTTGCTGCTGATTGTTTTGTTCTTTTTGCATCAGCGTTTGTGACCTGTCTTCCCGTGAAATATTATCGGGCAACACTGTAGAGACTGGAGGGGAGACAATCTTATCATCAGGCACTGTCGCGGAAACCGGTGAAACAATTCTGCTAGGCACGTTGGCGGAAACCGGGGAGGTGAACTTATCGGGAATTTTTGCGGAAACAGGTGAGGTCTTATAGTTGTTTCGCGTGATGTTAATGTCATTTGATTTTGATGAGATGACTGATGTGTGTTCCGTCACAGGGGGAAAATGAGCATTATTTGATTTGTTGGATGGAGATTGCATAGAATGTTCAATGCCCACACGATTGTCACAACTCGTGACCTCGGGTCCGGCATTTGAAGTTGGACTTTGTATCCCCTCATTCACCGAAAATGTCGTCCGATTTGGTGTTTGCACGCTACGTGTAGATCCCGATAAACTTGCTCGGGACATGTGACGAGCGTGTCTCGCCTGCTCGACTCGATCAAAAATACTTTGCTCCCGGTTTTCTTCTTTGGTTGGCATCTGAGGAATTTGAATTTTAACGTAACGTGGCATCTTTCCAGCAGAAGTAACGCTCGTTGAGTTTGATCCACGAGAATTGGTGGTTGAAAGATCAGGCGAATTGGATGAATTTCCATGATCCAAAGTAGAATTTTCATTCGAAGGCGGCGACTTCATTAATTTCAAGAGCAATTTTTTGAATTTCTTTTCTTTCTTCTTGCCGGATTCAATTGAAGTGCCCTCCTTAACCGATCTTGGAAATTCAGTCATCTCACTGGGCGGTGTCGTGTTTAAGAAATCAATCAAATCCTGAGCCTGATGCTTTCTTTTCGGCCTTCTCTGCCCTTCCGGATAGAATAAGTCATCGTCATCATCCAAATTCAATGGTTCAGGCCTGGCCGACCTCACTTTTTTTGAAATAGATTTACCATCATCCTGTAGATGACCGGTACTCTTGCTTGCATGTAAGTGCTGATGAGACGCAGACTGAATTTGATCCACGGTCTTGCTGTGACGCAAGGAAGGGTTGAGGTGAGAAGGCGATGTTGGTTTTGAAGATGGAAGAGGTGCGGAATGAGATTTGCTCGGTTCACCACCACCACCCGATCGTGTCGACAATTTTCGGATGACGGTAGCGCTATGCAGTGACGAAGGAGATGATTTTTCAGAAGGAATAAGAGGTGTATAGCGTGGACTGCTTGGGGTCGAACGTTCGGAAACCTTTTCTAATTTATCGATCGCTCTTCCTCTTCTCTGGAAGAGGTCCACCTTTGAATCCTTCTTCTTGATTCTGCCCGTAGGATCATTTAAAGCAGTTTCCGGACTAGTGTTCTTCAAGAATTCGTATAAGCTCTCTTCTTTCCCCTTTGGCTTACGTCTTCCGAACAACTCCTCATCCTCATCGTCCTCCTCTTCGAAATTCATTGAGGATTTCGGGCTGGTGGTGTTGTTGGTGGTGGCAGCGGTGTGAATTAACCTTTCACGAGAGACCGGCTCACGGGGCGCAAGTTTCGGTGGCCTCTTGTGTGTCTGAATAAGATAACACCGTGCGTGAGTGATTGATTCTTTTCTTGCTTTTAGAAAGAAAGAAAGAAAGAAAGAAAGAAAAAAAAAATACAAGAATCTAATGAGTCCCACCCACAGGATAACTACCTCAATCGTGATCAATCGGTTGGGGGTCAAGGAAACCTTCATGGTTTGATTGCCGGAGATCAAATGTTCAAAGCTCTTCATTTTTTCTACACTTTCTTCCTGGTGAACAAAACGAATTATAATGTAACCGTTCTTAAAAAATTTGAGTCCAATCAACGACATGTCATTCCGGTTAATTCTTGACCTACCGCACTAGACACACTCCTAATATCCATTTCCTTTTCTCTTCGATTTTGTAAGCTCTGCATACTTTTTGTTGAGCGCACACCTAAATTTTTACCGTCACCGACTGATATGATTGGGGAAGACGGAGCGGAATCCTTGCCCAGACCATTTCCTTCACGAGTTCCGTTATAGAATTCCCGCATGGTTGGACCGAGCGACATCGGAGAGGTTGGTGATCGCAGAAGATTGTCTCCGTCTTTATTAACTAACGATCGTCAAGTTAATTAAACGTGCATATCGGCTAAACTTTTTAAATGGGGATAAAAATTATTAGTTACCTGGAAAGGTTCCACCTAAATGGAACGATTTCGTAGAACCAGAAGTGGCATATGCGGAAGGTATTGGAGACGTCGGCGACGCCACGCGTTGTGCCTTTATGAACACGAGTCGTGAATTTCATATCGATCAAAATTATCACGGGACACAGGATTCAAAATTTACCTCCAATTCCAATTTTAGGTTCGTCCTCCGGAACAAAGGGGAAATTTGTGCGTCCTCAATCAACGCGACATATACCTCTCTTCCTTTTGCCAATTCCACGCCGTGCCTCTCGGATGCCTTAGCCACTGATATAATGATATACTCTCCCACATACTCCAACACGGCAGTCAAGTATATGGCCAAACTTGGTGCGATGTGGATACCCTCGGACCCGTACAAGTCGGGTATAGAATCGGGATCACGATCATCGATACCACGTTCGCCCAACGTACTAAAAAATTTACATTTTACGCGAAACTGTTCGAAGACTTTCTGCAAGGGGAAAGGATTTATCTCTATGGTTCTTTCTTGTGTACGGTCGTAACTTCCACTTTCCACGTAAGTTTTTAATTCCAGTTCTGCTTCCTGGACGGCGTTTTTACCTAAACTGGTGGGTAAAACTTGACCGATGGCCATTTTTATGCGCACCAGTTCAAGAGACCTGGCGGATTCCACCAGAAAATATAAGAGTTCATCAAGGAAAGTATTTATGGCTAGTAAAGCCTCGGATGAGATGCGATAAGGTGCGACGTCCACCATAATGGAGTTTGCCGACCGTTGGGAAATGTAAAGAGTGTCTGGTATGGGAAACGAAAGGGAAGTGAGTTTGAGTTTAGCAAAGGCGAGTCACCGTGGAAATCGGATCGTTCGACGAAAGGATAGAAAAAACATGCGCTTTGTACAAATATGCGGAAGAACATGCACAACGCCGAAAAGACAAAATGAGGAACGGGCACAGGGTTCAAGGACGAAATTACCCGTGAGCTTTTCAAGAATGCGCGCGCGAGCATTACCAACGGATTTGGAATTAACTTACTTTTCATAGAGTCTATGGCCATGCTTAAGGAAGTTCCGGGAGAATTATTCCTTTTTTCGGCTAGCTACGAAGCTTATAGATGAAATTTGTTTCGCAACTTCCCTTGGAGAGTAAGAATTGAATGGAGTCTATCTAGATAGCTTTTTGGTTTTATAAAAATAAACATGCATGTCGAATCATATCCAATTACATGACAGAATCTTCCCTTATATAACTCGGAACCAGTAGAGTGCATCAGAAAAATTTTAAACCTTCCATAAGCAGTAATTGACCGAGTCAAAGTTAAGGTGTAATATGTTTTGATACACGACATCCTTGTATTACCCGTCGAATTCTTTCATGCAACCGCATTATTATCATAAATTAAATTTCCATATTCCTTTACGATTAAATTTAGTTAAGGCACCGCAGGTCCTAGTTGCAAATCATTTTAACGGCGGAATATTTATTGAGGCATGATATATGTAAAAACTGGATGTTCATGTGACCGGGCATTTTTTTTTCTCTCGCCTGATGATGCTCGTGTGAAGCCTATGCGATCAGAGATTCTCGATTCATGAAACTTTAGCAGCAATTTAGGTGCAGCACGCACATATATATATTAAGTACGCACTAAATTTCTTAACCGGGATTCCGGTCCCCGGACTAAAATCTTGAAAAAAGTATCTACTGTATATACAGTATACAGTATACAGTATACAGTATATACAGTATATCAATTTATTATATATTGATGTAATACTGTATAAGCTTAATATAATTATTAAATGCCTTAAATATAGTCAGCTATACGTGGCATTGCTTTAAGAGAGAACAATACCTAACTATCTATAGTGCAGAGAAAATTTTTTTGTTTTTCTTAATCACAATCGTTGCAGTTTGAGAAATAATTTATAAATGAAAATTTTCGAAAAAAAATTTTTTTATCTCCATCCATCGTGACGGATTGTTGTTTATTAGGCTGTGACAAAATTTGATAGATTCATGATATACCCTTCAACTATGTGACCGGTTAAAAAATCTCACCCACGTTCCCAAATAAATCCACTATGAATTTATCTAATGTAATGTTTTTCTATATAATTATTGTTAAAAAAAAAGATAAAAAAATATATATATATATATGTATATATATATATATATACTGTATATATATATATTTATTTACTGTAAATTATAGATGTTCTAAAGTGAGACATTTTTTAGTCGATCATAGTTCCTCGTCTGACTTCAAGTGCACTCTATCTTCTCCATCGTCATCGACATATCTACCACCTTTGTTTTTTCGATCATCCTCGTCCTCGCTATCACCGAAAATCTCTTCTGGAGTTCGTACAACGAGTTCGTCCCTGATGGTTTTAAAAGAAAGCACGTTAGCGTCAATAAAAACGATACGGAGATAATAATCGAACTCTTACATCTCTTCATGTCCGTTCTCCACAGCAGATTTCATAGCCTGATTTTTATTTCTGCGTCGTCTTAATCTTCCTCGGAGAACGAAAGCTCCCAAACATAGGACACCGAAAATAACGATTATGAGCGTAGCAGTACCTCTGCATGAGAAATTTTAAATCATCGCGGATTGAGATAACCGAAAAACAAAATAAGAAACAATGATATCACTAAAACTTACGCGTTATAATATCGATCCCAAACTTCATTGTCTTCGTTTGAAGTTTGGTTGTTGTTGGAGGCAGGTTCCCCGGTGGTCGAATCATCAAACTACAAAATAAACCGAATTTCTCAATACACCATGACAAACGCGAGAGTGAAGTTGATTGATGAATTATCACCTGATAACCAACGCTGGATGGAAATTTCGATATATTTTGTTTATCCAATCCCATGAACCGATACATCATGTCCATACTAACGACCGGAAGGTCATATGGAACCATGTGACTGGCGTTATACACGACCACGTAGGTGAGATTTCGCTCCGATAACATGTGACCGGCCAGTGAGTTGTTAACGAACCAGGGTGTGGCCGTCAGATTCTAAACAAGACGGTTAATAACGAGGAAAGCGCACGAGGAAGTTTGCGAAAGGCAATGGAGACGAAAGAGTGATGACGAAAACCTGAAAACCTTTGGCACCATTCCACGTCATTTCAGCAATCATGTCTTCGGTACCATTGTGATTGCAAATGAGATCTTGATCACCGCTGGAATCAACACAGAAAAGAAAAAAAAATAAATAAGATTTTTTTTTTTCAACTTTCGCGACAGGCTCGTGGATTCTTAACCACAGGCGTAACACCACTAACCTGTACAACAGGACTTGGATTTGCTTTAGGATGGAAGGAAGTAACTGTCGTAGAAGGAGAGTTGAAAGTCATTTAGAATCAATGATCGTAGGCATCATCATTCCCGCGTCAAAGAATTCGAGAATATTATAATAGTCCATTACCTGGACTGCGGGCGGACTGTAATCATTCGTGAAACCTCGACTGACACCACTGTTGCACTCGACCCATCCAATCTTTTGAGCATCAGCATGAATTGCTCCGATAACATCGGCCCTCTAGAAACAATAGAATTTCAGGAGTTAGCACATTCACCATTCGACATTCGACAAACGATTTAAATCTAATGAGTCGACGATTACTCTTAGGTATGCAGAGATGGTGGTGAGTTCGTAAGGCCATGATATCCCGCACGAAGGATATGAATCGGAATGATCTCGAATGTCATACTGGTTTACGCAGGTTTCGTTTGAACCGACTCTGAAAATTTTGCGTTCGTCAAAAGGGTTGGTAGAAGGGAAAGGGAGATATTGAAAAAGAAAAGGTGATCGATACCGTTTGCGCGAATTCTCTAAAACTAACATCAGAACTTGTTCGCAAGCATCTAAATGAATGGTGGTGTTTGCTTTCTCCACGGCCATGCATCGTTTCAATTGTTCTTGAGCAACTTTCTATGCATCGTGCGATCAATTGACGTGTTAGGAAATGGATAAAGTAAGTGACCGTCGTGATAAAAATCTATTATTTGAATACCTTGTATTCGCCGTTCAAGAGGTTATGTTCGACTGAAAAGGTGTAGTATGCGTTATACTAAAAAAAATTTAGTGAACACATATATATGCATTCATTTAGGTAATAATGGACTTGGAAAAATTTTTGGGCATAACAAAGATATCCAACCTGTGCAATTGGATCTATCCACCCGTTGCCGATTGCTATTCCCTTGAGGTTATACTGAAAGTTGGCATGATTGTTTGTTAGACGATGAATATTGTCGAACCCAAAAAATCGATTTGATGCGCGTACCTTCAGATAATCGGCGGTTTTTCGGGCGTGATTGCGCTGTAGAATGGCGTTGGCTATGTATGGTATGAAGGTTCCCGCAAAACTCTCGCCGGAGATATACATCTGAGTGCAAATTAACGAAAAAAGGTTACCAAGTTTTTCGACCTCATGAACCTCGTCACGTTTAAGGTCTTACGTCATCTTTGGAATATTCGGGGAAGATTTCGAAGAATTTGTCGAGAAACAGAAGGAATTGTCCAGGTACCTGTGAGATGATTTGTGCTTTGTTATTTGAAAATCCATTTGGGAAAATTGTAAATGACGACTTCTTCTTCTTACTTGTGTCACGTTATTCAAATAGCTATTGCTGTTTGCGAAACTAAAGCCGGTTCCTACGGGCTGGTCGACTATCGTGATAAAGGTAATCGTAATGAGTGAATGTGTGACTTTCGGAAATCAATTTGCCCAATCAACCTAATCATCGTGGTCTACCGTATAGCACATTGGCATATTCATTCCACGCTCCATCAATTACTCTCAGAGTTTGATCGCTATTTATCCTCCAGGGACCTGTTTCAAGAAATACGCCGTCCATACTACAATACCAAGTTGTCTAAGTGAATAGAATTTCATTATTGATGAATGTGAGAAAAAAAAAAAAAGGAAAAAAAGAACCTACCTCGAACTAAAGTTAAAAAAAAAAAAAAGTGGTGCACGTGAAATTCAAAGTGTGAGCGTGTTAAAATGTCGAGCCTTCGATTCATCATCCCCCCCCCCCCTCTCGACTTACCAGCCAGGACCTTTGCATCAGAAAGGGAGAGAAAGAAGCGATTTAAAATCGGAATCTCCGAGAAGCATATGCATGTGTGTGCTCGGAATAAATTGTACATACCACCATTGAGCCATATAATCTGGAAAGCAAATGATTAAAAAATGAGCAATAGGAAAATGTTAAGTCACAATGTGTTCATGAAGATCGAATCGATAGAGGAAACTTACAAATTTTGATTGATCCGCAATGTGACGGTTATGCATTAGCCAGAAGAAGATATTGGAATTGGTACTCTCATCAATTAAAATGTGACTATTAGAAAGAAGAATTGTCTAAGCAATGTGTAGAATCAAAAAAACGACACTTGGTAAACTTTCAACTGAAATCTCGAGAGGAATTTGTATTCTTTGGAAAAATCGATCTTAACCCTGCATGACTTTTAATGTGAGCATCGTCGGGAAGTCCCGGTAGAGAGCGCACGTAATAGTCGGCGGCTATTGTGAAAATGCACAGGAGGATATTGTTTAATGTCTTTCTAGACGTGTTTGAATCAAGCTCAGTTTAAATTTTTGACACCGACCGCTAGCCGCGTATGCTGTCCTGGCGATAACTGTAATGGCAAGTCCTAGCGAGAGGACTAAGGATTTTATATTAAACTTCATTCTTTGAAACCGACAAGATCTGACACTGAAAATCGAGAAAAAGTCGGGACGTTTGGGTTTATCATTGGATACAGATGCAATATAAAAAAAACGCTAATTTTAGGCAGAAAGTCAATAAACCTCTGCATCAGCTGCATGTGTTAAATTCTCGTAACCAAGCACAAACCTTTGTGTGTTAAATTTGGAATTTTATTACGAATCGACCAAGCCCAGGGCTTATCAAAATTTGTGGCTTTGTGCCAGGTTGATCAACCAATACTCACGGGAGTGACATTTAATTAAAGAAAAATCTGTTAACCCGAAACCATTAACCAGTCCGAATCCTAATTCAAACATTGCGTATATGCATCATTTCACCCAAAGCATCATATTCGCGCATCTCTTTTATTCCTTTATTGTCTTTCCGCTTGATTCCCTCCTGTCATGTTGACATTGATCTCTTTACTTTTTTCCTCGAATATACTTTCGATGTTGTATCTCTTCAATTTCCTATAATCCGACAGAACACTCATGCCACATATGTTCTTTATTGTGGGAAATGACAGAGGGACAATTAAGATTTGAGATTTGTGGATCGTTGGAGAATATTTAAATGCATGCCTTAAAGACTTCAACGATGATGACGAGGTCCGGTTCGTCAAGACAAACGACATGGTGACTGCCAACCACTCGCGCAATCATTGTAATTAATTTCATTCTCTCGATGTTTGTGTTGTTCCGAATATTCGGAATGATGGCGTACTTGATGTGAAATGCATGAAGAACGCATGAACATTTATCGTTCCCAAAAATGATTGTTAATATAAATACCGCGCTACCTTGATCTTTTGACCCTGAGTGCAAAAGTGGGGATTCGTCACCTCTTCGGATAACTTTTGGATATCATTCATATTGGCGTAACAAGTTTTCGTGATCGGAATAAGTCGCTTGCAGAATCTATTTTATTAATTAGGTCAAGGTGAATCATTAAGAAGAAAACTAACTTTAAAGAATGGTAGCTACCGCGTTCTCTTCTGCCCGGAATTAACCAAATCGGTTAGAACATGATGAACCAGTTGAACAGGGTTAATTAATGGATCGGTCTTTATGAATACAACTGTGCGCATTTGATACGATTGAACACATTGATCAACCGGTAATGTCAACGTGAAATTGAAGTGGAAGAACGACATACCACAATCGGTCCCAGTTTGAATTGAAGCAAATCGATGCGATTCATGGGGTTGCTTCATTTGAACAAGTTCTTTCATTATGGAACTTTCAATGTCCTCACCTTCCTCCGAATTAGAGACTACGCCCTCGGCATCACCCAACCCGTATAATTTTTCTGCATACTAAGTTTAGATATAACTATAAATCGCGATTAGTTAGAACAACAAGAAGAACGGCAAGAACAACAAGGTGAATTCCTTTCGGCTACCGCATTAAAAAGATCGTAACACTCTCTAACGCACAGTGCCTCTTTGGATTTTGTGCAGCTAACGAAAATTCCGGAAATATTTGGTTTCAAGCCGGCAACTTTACTCTGCTTTTTATAGTACGATTTGTCTAAGGGCGCAGTGGAATTATGTCTTGAGCGTTACAATAGCAAGCCGTAAAAGCACATTATTTGGTAGGGCACCACACCTTTCTGTTTTTTTGAACTTCTTTCGGTACCGTTCCCATCGTTGGAGCGCTTTTGAGAATTCGACATTATCTGAACGAGTCAATGCCTAATAAGACACTATTACGTGATAAGGTGATTTTTAATAATGATCGACGTTATCGACAGGTGCATACCGTACTTCCCCGGTCAAAAAGTATCGTTTTCTTTAAATAATAATATCAGAAATATAATAATTACTCTATTCTAATTGTACAGTAAAAGTAAAGAGAATTTTCGCCATATATAGATTAGATATTAAAATTTTTTACTTCTACATTAAGTTTATATAAAGCCACGCGTTTATGATGTATTATGTAATGCCCTGCACATTTTCCGGACAGTGAGCCTTAATAGGCGCGGGACTTAAATTTTCGAACTTCGCCATTGCGAATTTGCGTGAAACAAATTTTTCAACATATTTAAAGTCAACCAATACTTTATAGATTGTAATATGCGAATACTCAATTTTTAATTTGAAATAGATAAAAGTAAACTAAATGCGCATAAAAGCAAGACTTAATAGGCATTAGCATTCTTTTTAAATCGGTTTATAGGATAGATACATGCATATATGCTATATTACTTTTTTGATGAACTTAATAAACTTATTCTGTGGCTTGGTGCTGTTCTTTGTTAAGGAGAACTAACTTGCCAAGGTATCACAATAACTTGAATAAATATCTTAGAGGTATTACAGTATATTACGTGAAATTATTCTTAAAAAGTTATTTATTAATTCGCGGATGATCGACATTTAATTTTTTTATTTTTTTTAGACGCTAGCTCATCCATGTGCCATGGCATGCGTTTTATCATAATAAAGATAATATCTAAGGACAACCAGGATAAATAATTATCCATGCTGCTAATAGTACAAAGAATAAATTATTTAATTAGAATAGGATAACTACTATACATAACCATCTAGTATAGATACTTCTCTTTACTATGACAAACTAACTAGAAAATAAAGATCTACATCACAGCATTCTCTAGAACCTAGATTCACTGAGTGACTTATTACTATCTCCTAAGAAGAGAAGTTAATATATTAAAAATTTATCTAAAGTATTTAATATCATCGATGTTGAAGATTCCTCATATGAAAAGGGAATATATACTGATCTTGTCATAAAAATATTGATTATTGATGATTGTATTATTAGTTTATAAAAAAAAATAGATATATCAAAATCTTTTAAAAGAATAAGTATTTAAGTTATCAGGTTATAGTTGCTAAAAAAAAAAAATAAAAGGTCTTATTCAGTTTATTTTTTATTAATAATGATTGACATAAGAGGTTATATATTTTGCATTAGTTAATATTACATCATTTAATAGTAGAATTATTGCTGAATTTGATAAAATATAATAATAAAAAAATTGACAAATCATTTTTGATTAATATTACTTGGTATTAAAAATATTGACAAAAAATCAGCAAAAAATTTTTGATATATTGTAATAAAAAAATTCAATATAAAATCTAACTATATTGTGACAAAAAAATTTTTTTGTATACTATTAATAAAAAATTTAACAAAAAATTAATACTATGGCAAAAAATTTGATAAAAAAATTGATACTGTAATAAAAAATTCAACAAAAAAATTGATACTGCAATAAAAAAATTATTGTAACAAAAAATTTGATAAAAGTTATAAATCTAATATTGAAATTTGATAAATATTCAAGAAGTTTAACAAATTTTATAAAATGTATTAAAAAATTACAAAATCAATTAATTAAATTATTTGATATTTTCCTCTTTCTCCTTTTTTTTCTTTTCTATTTGTTTTTCTTTTCCCTTTAAAGATTTCAGCTTGACTCTTTTAAAACTAGTCCCAATTGATTTTATCTTATCAAATGTTTTCTAAGATTTTTTACTTTTTTTTTCTAATTTAATTGCCTCTGAATTTCATCCATTTATATACTTTTTCCAGTTTGTTTCTTATTCTCTAAATATATTAATAATTTCTTATATTCAGTAATTTTTTATCTTTTGAATTTAACTTTCAATTCTTTATCATTTTTGTCTCTTTTTTTTATTTATATTTTAAAATCTTTTTCAAACTATATATCCAATCCAACAAGCCTTCTGATAATATCATATCATAGAAATATAAATTATCATTATATTATTTACAAATTAGTTGGAACACTTGAATTAATTTCAAATATTTATCCAAATATTTCAACAAAATTCTTTAATTATAAATAATTATAATTAATATTGTAATTATTCAACAGGCCTATAGATCAATAGTGCAGTTATTAGTACTTTTTAAATTAAATTATAAGATACAGATTCAATTCCTTCAAGTGACCAATGTAATTTCTCTAATTTAACAAAAACAAATAGAATCGGCATTTATTGACTTAATTGTAAATTAATCAATATTTTTAAATATAGTTATTGATCTATATGAAAATTGTGATTGATCAAATATCTAAAATTGGGTAAAATCATCCCTGATACAATTGCATTATCCAATAGTAATAAGAAGAGTAGACTCAAAACTAATAGTATATCTCTTAAAGCAAAGTGCATAACTATATCAGGTTTTATAGACTTTACTATTAGGAGGTCTTGATAAGAGAAAGCAAAATTATGAATCACTCTAAAAGACTGAAGAAACCAGGTTTAGGATATTATAATCGACAGTCTGATGACTAGAATACTCTTAAGAAAAAATTGTTTTGGAAAAAATTAAACCAAATTTACATATCTTTTTAAATAAATAGTAATTGTATATAACATTACATAGGGTATGTATATAACTACTTATATATACTTTTTTTTTTTTTTTATCCTCTGTCAGGTTAGTTAAGTATGCTTTATTAAACATTTGTAAGCTGTACATATTAAATGCAGCGCTAAAGCTAAATCTCTAACTAACTCACTCGTTTTGGTTATACTACCTCTCTAAGTGCAACTTCGGGAGTGATT